TCAGGTGATCCACTTTGCCCCTTCACCTCCTTTGTAAAATGGGAATGATGGGTGTACCGTCACCATGCATGCATGGAGTGGGCTTATGAGACCTAAAAGTGAGGATGCTCCCTCTCCATTTAAAAGGGGAGCTCTGATTTCAGGCAGGTTAAGTTTTTATTATTATTGAATTCTTATGTTTCAGAACGCTCAGCTCGGAGAGTTTTTTATTAAACTCATCTGTCAGAATAGAAATACTTCCTGGAGAAGGCTGGATTGTAAGGGACGTATTCGATGAATGCGCACATATTATGTCCATAAATGTTTGTTAGAAAAATTATTCTCAACAGATCTGACAGAGATATGAAAAATTAGATCACAAATCTCATTAACGACAGAGACATCGAAAGAGGGATGAAGCCAATTACTGTCGATATTACTTGTCAGAAGAATGTCATGGCTCTCGTCTCGATGCTGGTCACATATCTCTCAGTTGAAATAACTCCACAAATGACTCCTTTTCTCCCATCAGCAATGAATGAAAGAAGTTTCTGCTTTTCTTATGCACATCCTGTTACCTCAGTTATCCGAGAGATGCACTAATAATGCTGTGAAAGGTCGGGTGACTGCAGGACCGCAGTCATTGACCCCATGTGCCCCTCTGCTCCCACCTCCTGCTGGCACTTCCCTGCAGTGAGGTAGCAGGCTGCTCTGTCACCATGACAACTTTGCTTTTCATGACAAAAGTAGTCTGTGGGTAGGGATTTGAGCACCCTGTAAATTTGACTATTGAGCATCACTCACTTTGTCACCAGGAAAAGCAAAAATCCTAAACAAGTACTTTTAACTGGGAAGTAAATGGAATGTTCCATATGGGAGCCTGTAGTGGCAATGCTAAGTCATGGCCTGAAGCAGTGATTGAGCAGCTGGTGGGAAGTCAGGGCCAGCCCAGGGGATCTCAGGTGCATGCAATGCAATGCAATGCAACGCAGCTGAGTTGACCAGAAGGGTGGAGCCAGGATCCTTCCCTTCCCAGACCTCATTTAAGGGCTGGCAGTAGAGGTGATGGTACCTTGCTTGAGATGTCTGCTTACTGGAAGCCTTCTAAAGGTAAGCAGTTGTTCTGTTTTTGTCTGTTTGTATGCTTCTGTATCTCTGGCTGCTGTATCTGGGCTTGTTCTCATTCACTGTTGCTTAGGATTGTGCCACTTTCCATTACTGCTGTACTTTCTGTCACATTATACTATTACAGTGTTGCTACACTATTACAGTGTTGCACTTGGTGAGCCAGCCAGATACTTACTTACATGGATTACCTTAAAAAAAATTGTGCACTGGACGATCAGTGGAACCCCATAGCAAAAGCTTCAAAATATCCCCAAAAAAGCAGAGGTGAGAATTATTGAGAAAAACAAACAAACAAAAAACATGGAAGCTGGAAAGCTTCCTAGTTCCCAATAAAAGAAAAAAGCCTTCTCGAGTAATCCAGGCCACAATACCAAAGGAAAAGGAATTGGCAATTCTCAGCTACCTGCTTGACAGGGGATGCCAGTATCTAGGGCCTCCGGTCCTGTCTGGGGGCCCCTGTGTTAAGCTGATTGTTTTTTGATCTCAAAAGAATATACAGTGAATTATGGCACTGGTTGACACAGGTGAAGAAATCTCAATTATTTATTGTGAGGGAGGCAGGCAGTGGACCTTCAGGTTCCTGCCACAAGGGTATGTGCTTGCTTATATATTGTCATAACTTAGTGGCATGTGACCTAGCAGATTAGAATAATCTTAATAACATCAAACACTACCACTATATTGATGATCTCATACTGATATCAGACTCACTGAAGGCACGAGGAAAGGCAGCAGATTCATCGACTACATATCTACAAAAGAAAGGGTGGGCTATAAACGCACAAAGGTGCAAGGACCAGGCTTGTAGGCCATTCCTGAAGATGCCTCATATAAGGATGGGTCCAGCAAGGGTAATTCAAACAAGTGGAGAGGAATGGTATACCATCCCTCCCCTGAAACCTTCCCTGAAACAATCTGGTTTGAAGAAGATGGTCAGAATAGCCAATGTACAGAACTAGAAGCTGTGTGGATTGTTACAACCAAGGAACCTGGTGACAGTATACTGAATATCTGCACAGATTGCTGGACTGTGTACCAGGGGCTTACTAGTATAGGGGGCCACCCAGAAATGGACTGTCTGTGCCTGATCAATCTGGGGCAGAGATGCATGGTTAGGTATGGAATGTGGTTAAACACAGGACCATACACGTCTACCACATTTCTGGCCACCAGCCTCTACAGTCATTGGGAAATGAAGTCAATATGCTGGTTAGAGTTTGAATTGAGGATTCACCCACTGGAACTCACAAGAACATTGCCCGCTGGTTACATCAGAAACTGCTGCATGCCAGACAGAAGCCAATGTGGGCAGCTGATAAAGCATGGGGGCTGCCCATACAACAGGCTGATATAGTCCATGCATGCCAAGACTGTGATGCTTGCCCCAAGATGAGATCGTTGCCCAGAACAACAGCCCATCTTGCTAGAGGACACAATCCTCACCAGTGATGGCAGGTCACTGGGCTCCCCCCTTGGTCTGAGGGGGTAGATGTGTCCTGGCTTACATCAACACAGCAAGTGGGCTAATGCAGGACTATCCAGTGCTAAGAGCAAACCAGGTATTTACCATCAAGGTGCTCACAAAGATGAGGGCTGCCCATGGGATGCCTCAAGTCATCATTGAGAGTGACCAAGGAACTTATTTCACTGGTGCGATGGTAAAATGCTGGGCAGAAGAAAACAGTGTTGAGTGATGATACCATCTGCCATATAATCTGGTGGGGGCAGGCCTTATTGAATGCTAAAACAGTATTCTTAAGACTGCCCTGAGGATAAATTCTCAGTCCCTGCAGGGGTGGACAGAGACTCTATGAAAACCTGGATGCTCCTCAAGACGGAAATCTTAAAGGTGCAAGAACAGGCTGTCCCTGAGTGCCGTAAGGTGAGCTGCAATGTAGACAATCAGTCTGGATGAGCCGGGAACTACTGTTGAGACTCAGGGAGAAAAAGAGTCTATGTCCTCTGGAAGAAGGGACAGGCTAGTTGGGGAAATTACAAGGAATTAGTGAAGGTATGCAGGGAAGACGTTAGGAAGGCAAAAATCCAACTTGAACTCAGATTGGCCACTGCAGTAAAAGACAATAAAAAATCCTTTTATAAATATATCAATGGCAAAAGAAGAACCAAGGATAATTCTCATCCTTTACTTGATGCAGCAGGTAATGTGGCCACTAAGGACAAGGAGAAGGCTGAGGTCCTCAATGCCTTCTTTACATCTGCCTTTAATAGCCAGACCAGTTATCCTTTGGGCATTTTATGCCCTGATCTGGAAGTCTGGGACACTACTCAGAAAGCATCCCCAGCGATTCAGGTGGAGACAGTCAGAGAGCTCCTCCTCCATCTGGACTGTCACAACTCCATGGGACCGGATGGACTTCATCTGAGGGAGCTGGCGGGGGTGATTGCTGAGCTGCTCTCGGCCATCTGTCAGCGCTCCTGGTTAACTGGAGAGGTCCCAGAGGATTGGAGGCTTGCTGATGTGACTCCCATCTTCAAGAAGGGCCATAAAGAGGATCCGGGGAACTACAGGCCTGTCAGCCTGACCTCAGTACTGGGGAAAGTAATGGAGCAAACCATCTTGGGTGAGATCACACAGCATGTGCGTGGTGTCCAGGAGATCAGGTCCAGCCAGCACTGGTTCATGAAAGGCAGGTCGTGCTTGACCAACCTCATCTCCTTCTATGACTGGGTGACCAGACTGGTAGATGAGGAAAAGGCTGTTGATGCAGTCTACCTAGATTTCAGCAAAGCCTTTGACGTGGTTTCTCACAGGCTTCTCCTGGGGAAACTGGCTGCCCATGGCCTGGACAGGTACACACTGCTTTGGGTAAGAAACTGGCTGGAGGGCTGTGCCCAACAGGTGGTGGTTAATGGAGTGAAGTCCAGCTGGTGACCTGTTTCAAGTGGTGTCCCCCAGGAGTCGGTGCTGGGGCCTATCTTGTTTGATATCTTTATTGATGACCTAGACGAGGGGATAGAATGTACCCTCAGTAAGTTTGCAGATGACACCAAACTGGGAGGTGGTGTGGATCTGCCTGAGGGTAGAGAGGCCCTTCAGAGGGACTTAGAGAAGCTGGATCGCTGGGCTGAGGTGAATGGAATGAGGTTCAACAAGGCCAAGTGCCGGGTCCTGCATTTTCGCCACAACAACCCCATGCAGCGCTACGGGCTTGGGGACGAGTGGCTGGATGGTTGTGAAGAGGAAAGGGACCTGGGGGTGTTGGTTGATGCTCGGCTGAACATGAGCCAACGTGTGCCCAGGTGGCCAAAAGGGCCAACGGCATCCTGGCCTGCATTAGAAAGTGTGGCCAGCAGGAGCAGGGAGGTGATCATCCCCTGTACTCAGCTCTGGTGAGGCTGCACCTCGAGTGCTGTGTTCAGTTTTGGGCCCCTCACTACAAAAAAGACATTGAGGCCCTGGAGCGTGTCCAGAGAAAGGCAATGAAACTGATGAGGGGTTTGGAGCACAGGCCTTATGAGGAGCGGCTGAGGGAGCTGGGATTGTCTAGTCTGGAGAAGAGGAGGCTCAGGGGAGACCTCACAGCACTCTACAGCTTCCTGAAGGGAGGTTGTGGTGAAGAGGGGTTTGGCTTCTTCTCCCAGGCAAGAAACAGGACCAGGGGAAATGGCTGCAAGTTGTACCAGAAGAGGTTTAGGTTAGACATAAGGAAGAACTTTTTCTCTCAGAGAGTGGTCAGGCACTGGAATGGCTGCACAGGGAGTGGCGGAGTCGCCATCTCTGGCAGTGTTCAGGAGGCATCTGGACGAGGAGCTGCAAGATCTGGTTTAGTGCTTGTGGTAGCAGTAGCAGTGTGAAGACGGTTGGACTAGATGATCTTATAGGTCGTTTCCAACCTTGTGATTCTATGATTCTGTGACCTGCAGGACCTGAATGAAAGGCCTAGACATGACAGATTGTGTGCTCTGAAGATACTACAAGCAACATGGACCTCTCTGCTAAGGATCCAAATTATGGGCACCACTAGTCAGGTAAGACCCCAAACTGCCAAATAATATTCTGCTCCCTGGCTCTGAAAACCTAGAACCCTGTACCCATAAAATAGAATGGCCTTGGAGGGTGTAAGTAGGACCAAAGTGGTGTGACCTACTTGCACCTAGGGGAGATTATTGGAGGTTAGTAATAGGTATATGGCCTGCAGACATCATGGTCAACACTCCAGTTTTCATCACTAAAGGGATCTTAATAATGTCCCTATGGAAAAGCAGGACTCCCATCCCTCCTCCCTAGGTACCCAATGCAGATATCAAGCCAAACGTTATGGTACAGACAGCCAGGACATGCTGCAATGCATAGTGTTACAGGATAAAATGAGAAAGCAAATCAAAGAGAAAGCTGGTGGAAATGGTTTAAATGATCAGACTTTAAGCTGTATCTATGTATAAGTATTTACATATGTAGACTAGGTACATCAAGCTACTTATACACACAAGCAACATCTACAGTATTACAGAAATACAATCACAGAACCACATGGGTTGGAAGGGACTTGAAAAGATCATCAAGTCCAACCCCCTGCTAGAGTAGGTACCCCATAATAGGTCACACAGGTAGGTGTCCAGCCAGGTCTTGAATATCTCCATATAAAGATATTCCACCACCTCTCTGGGCAACGTGTTCCAGCACTCTGTCACCTTCACCATAACGGTACAGAGGTAGCTGTGTAGGATTACTCTGTAAGTTATGAGCACATCCTTCTATCAGGTGAATTCAAGACCACTTCCAAGGGATCAGAACAAAGACAGCATGGGGCAGTTCAGGCTTTGTGTTTGTTTTAGCAGTCCTTGGTTGCAAGGCACTGAAGAAACATCTCCCCTTTACACACATCCCACGTTTACAAAGCCAGACTCATAGACTCGCATCCACCTACGAAGCTTTGGTGGCTCTGACCACTGAGAGTTTTTACATGTCAGTAACTGCCCCAGGTTTATCCGCTGAACAGGGCGCAGCAGAAGATATTCACAAGGGTGCCAGGGCACATTCTTCTGGTTTAAGTGGAGAAACATTGGCAGTGGATGTTGATGGAGCAAGATCCTGAAGACTGTGGAGACTTCTGGAACGGAGGTTGTGAGCATCGCTGTCATGGCTGTGCAGCTGGCTGCTCCGAGGGGTCAGTATAAATAAAATAAAAGAGGCAGGGAGAACATTGGCTACATGTGTTCTTTAACTAGCAACGCATCATTGTGCATCAACATCCACTTTTAAATGGGATATCTACCTTGTACAATGAAGTAAATGTATCTTATGTTGGTATTATGATTCTTAATTCTTGGGATCCAGAGGCCTGTGGCTGCTAAACCCTTGTTTGTTTATCACCTCACTGTTACTGTCTGGATTTTAGCTGTGATCAGAGTGAAGTTACCCTCAGTGTTATATTCCCAGAATCCCAGGAGCTCGCTCTCTCCAAACAGATCTTTATTTTCTGAAGTGTATTTATTATCCAGTTTAACTTCTCTGAGCAGATCATACTGAAAATGGGAACTGCACGAGGCTGTTTCTACTGCTTGCTGCTCTGAGACTCAGCATGCACTGAAATGGTTAAATTCAGCACTTCATTTTCGCAAATGCTCTCTTGAATTATTTTGGCTTTTGTGAAATTTTCTTCCCCCTAGCTCGATTTGCTGGAATATCTAAAAACACTTACACAAGCATAAAAGAAATCCAACACATCGATGGATATTAACCTGTTGGATGTTACCTAATGAGCCCATATGTTGTACTGTCATCCACTCACTGTGACAGAAGGGTGACATGGAAATGCTGATGTCTATCTCTGTTGTTTAATGCAGACACAGTGCAACTCATTATTTTATGCAGCAAACTGAAGTCTCTAATGCCTACAAAACTGAAAGGATGCTATAGAAACTGCTTTTCAGAAACAGAAGAAAATCTACCTTTCCTGTGTGCATATGAAAATATGGATGACTCCACGAGGAGCTCAAATTGTCACTCAGCCTCATACAGAATTCTCCGTGGCTGCTAACAGAAATCCCACCACGTCTGTGTGAGCTGAAAGAACCACACATTTCTCCAACTATGACCCCCAAATAGGTATTAATGCAGCTGTTACATTCCAAATACTTCTCTACCAGTTTTCAGATTGTTCTCCCCATTCATTTACAGCAGTCTGAATGGAAATAGAGAGGAAAACAAGTGCTAACCTCATAGAGCAGTTGTGGATGGGTGGGTAGCAGCCCAAGGGCAGCATTTGCTTTAGGTCCTCCTCGTGGAATTAGGGTCATTATTGTGATTTACTAAGGAACATATGTGCAAGTATACACCAAAACCGCAGAAAATAGAATTTTAGAAGCTTATTCAGCAGTGGATTTCAGTATACAGATGTTGGATATAATATACTCGCACTAAATTGGATTCTGGGTGAATAAAGGAGCTGATCTTAAATTCAGCTTGGAGCCCTGCTCAGCACTCAGTTTGAAATACACAGCCTTTTTGTTTCGCTTTTGCAACTTATTCAATAAATATTTTGGCATGCCTGTCTGTTACGCTGCCTTAATCTTCTCTTCAACTGAGCAGAAATTAGCATTTGTAATTTATTCACCAAGGGAAACTAAAAAGGCTCTCCACCAGGGTGAAATGTAATGCCCAACAGATAACCAGAGTGCTGAATCAGCACAACGTGCATTTGACAAATTTGCTCATTGCCTGCACCTCATTTAATGGAAGATGTGGCAAAGAGTGGGGGGGCAAGCTTTTATCTGTGTCTCACTGGAGTGATGCAGGGCTGTGGTGGCTCACTGTGCTGTGCCATCATCCCCTCTTCCTGTCCCATAACACAAGCGGCCGTGCCATTCAGCTCGAGTCCCTTATTCATTACAAGAAAATCACAAGATGCCTATTCTGTATTCTAAATAGCTTGATTTTTTTCCCTTCAATCCAACACGATGCAGGTTTAAATAAATTAATTCTAAAAAAACCAACCCAAATACCTATTCATCAGCTTTCAGTGACTAAACAGCAGGTTTACACTTGGGATGACTTGTATATCTCGTTATTAGAATCACAGAACCATTCAGGCTGGAAAAGCCCTCAGCTACCCCCCTCCACGCCCCCTCCCCACATCCCTCAGTGCCACATCCCTGCAGCTCTGAACACCTCCATGGACAGGGACTGCCCACCCCTGGCTGCTCTCTGGAGAACAAATTGCTCTGATACCAACCTGACCCTCTCTGGTGCAATGTGAGACCACGACCTCTCATCTTATTGCCAGAGCAGAGGCTGACCCCCGCCTCACTACATGCTTTTTTCAGGGAGTAGGAGAGGTCACATCCTGCAGTCAATAAGGAGCAGTTTCAGCCCTGCCCTTCGCCCCTCTCCTTATGTAAGAGATGAGTTTTTGGCACTGGGTACTGTTTTGCACCTGTTTCTTCTTTTGAATCTCCATGAATCATTTTGGGCATTGCTATGATGAAAGGCCAAGATGACAGACATAGTATGACAATTAGGGCTGTGCTGAGAAGCAGTCACAATGAGCGTGGTTTATGAGTGGTAATGTCATCGATTTTTGCCTTTGCAATGAGCTAGCCAGCACTCTGCATAGAGAATTTATAATCAGAAGCATCCCTCTGTATTGGCACGTGGAGAAGGCCTGACTTTTATTGCAGCAGCGTTTGATCGATTTAGTGATAGACTGTCTGTGTTGGTGAGCAAAGGGTCTCATTCTGCCATACCTGGAGCAGGAAGCACTCCCACCACAAAAGCAGATAACAGAGTACTTCAATGCACAGTTGCCTGCTTGCTGGAGAAAAGAGGCATGAAGCTGTTCCCCCTCGCGTTCCACCCGCACACGCTCATGTTTGTAGCACAGTCACATAGCAGCCAATGCTTGCTGAAAAACAAAGTAAGAAAAAGGACTCCAAAATGTGCAACTATTACTCTGCATAAGAAAATTAAGGAAAGAAAAACTACCACGGGTTGACAGTGTGCTGGGGGGGGCAGACAAGTACTTACTCTTTCCAGGGTGAATTGCTTCATTTTTTCTTCCTTTTCAGTTCATTATAGCCATAACTTTATTTAAATGTAGCTTTTCTTTCCAGTGTGGCTGTGGTAATTTCTTAGAGAACATATTTTAATGGCCTGGCTATACGCTCAGGATTTCTGTTTGCTTCTGTAATTGCTTCTTAATTATTTTCCAATTGCTGAAACAACAGTTTCCACAGTTTATTAAAAAGCGTTTTTGAAAGCTTTACCCTAAGGCATTGTCAACATTTTATTACTATCACTAACAGTCAGCACAAATGAATAATCACCAGCACTGGTAGCTCATGTCAAGCAGACAAGAGCTGGCAGAGTCTTATGTAGAAATTAGGATGATGTAGGAATTGGGATGAGCTTACTGTGTTTCCAGGTTGGAGCAGAGCAGCCACTTCAAACCCAATGGCATCTCTCTTTCAGGTGTAATGTCACTAACAGAGATAACATCACTACATTTGGAAGGAGAAATATTGTCAGAAATTTTAAAAGAAGGTTACAGCAATTGTTCAAGCTTCTTTTTCCCCCATCCTTATTTATTGTAAGGAAAAACTGACCTGATCCATGTGGTTATAATAACAACCAAGAGTACCAACTCCTACATTAATAAAAACCAGGAACTTACATAGTGCATAAATTTAGTATTTCCTCATCCTGATTATATTCACTGAAAGAACAATCAGGCACTGGAGTGAGCTGCCATGGGAGCAGTGGAGTCCCTGTCTCTGGAAGCTTTCAAGAAACATTTAATGGGGTACTGCAGGCTGTGGTTTAGTGGGGAGTGTTGGTGGTATGTGGACAGTTGGACTGGATGATCTTGGATGTCTTTTCCAGCCTTGATGATTCTTTCAACACAAAGGTTTAAAGACATTAGTAGAGCTAGCATGGCCTCATTCTCACCTCCATGATGTTTCAATCAAGCCCTGTAACTCAGGCTCCCCAGTCAGCACTGTAGCAGCAGCCTGCTCCCCTCACCACGTGCAGGTGCTTTTCCTGCAGAACTTTACCAAGAATGGAACCAAGATTTGCTGCCAGAGCAGTGAGCTGCTGCCCTACACAGTGCTGCATCCCCCCACCCCTATAACTGCCCCTCTGCCACCTCCACCTACCACTAATTCATGCCATCTCCTTGAAGGACAGAAGTCATCAGTTCTCGCTTCTTCTCAAACCTAAGTATACAAAATACTTCGAAATTAGTAGGAAATTTTAGGACAGAGGATTCAGGGTGGAGATTTGTAGGATAAAGTTTACCCAACCTTCCACTGTTAAAAAAAAAAAAGTGGAAAATTTCAAGATTTGTCTCTATCACAAGATATTACTTTCAAAAAAAAAATAAAGAAAATGAGGATCAAAGTTGATAATTCTCATCCTTTTCATTTCAATTTGCTGGTATTTTCAAGCTCCTAATTTCTCCTCTGCTATAGAATAGGATTGTTTTGCTTTCCAACCCTCCACCCCCAGCAACACTGATCACAACACAGCCCTCCTTCTGCCTTCAGGCTGCTGTGCTGCTACATCTCACTTCAGAGCATCCTTCCCATTTCAGCCAGCACCTACAGCCTCTGCCTCCTGATTCAAGGGCTAGAAAAGGGAAATCCCACCTGAATACTTAGGCCTGGAGCAGCAGGAAGGTAAAGCCCTGGGACTTTATCCCTCTTCTCTCATAACACTGCCATTTTTTTTTTAAAGTAAGATTTATTAGAAACAGCAGCTGCATATTTATACAGGTGGGAAATAAATGCTTTGCTTATATTCTCTTCCTATACTCTTCTCATAACCTAAATCATATAAATGATTCCTCATTTGCCTTTATCAGCTATGAGAAGAGTATTGGCTGGATATAAAACTCTCATTTTAATACTTTGATTGGGAAATGCTACGAGAGGAATCGATGCCTCAAAGGCATTATGAGCTTTGGTAAAGCAGAAGTTTTTCTATTTGTGCAGCAGCAGAAAGGTGCTCTCTGAGCAGGATGTGATCACAGAATCACAGAAACACCAAGGTTGGAAAAGACCTACAAGCCCATCCAGTCCAACCATCCACCTATCACCAATAGCTCTCACTAAACCATGTCACTCAACACAACACCCAAACGTTCCTTGAACACCTCCAAGGTCAGTGACTCCACTGATAGGTTCAGTATAAGTACAAAAGTATGGAAGTTGGACACATGGAATCAGCACTGTGATAGCAGGGTGACGTGATGATGTTGGCACATAATTTGCTAAAAACATACACAGCAGCTGACCTGCAGATACAAAAAGGACAAACTAGTGGTTCATCACAGCTGTGCCTGGAGGTGATGCTTTGCTGCCCTCCTGTATCCCATGTGCTGACAAAGGAAACCCATTTGAACACATCCTCGTACAACCACACAGTGTTGAGAGTCCCGTCGCAATACAGAGACGTGTTGTTGCTTTCTTCTGTGCAATTTGAATCACCACATCACTAGTCAAAGAAACAAATAAGAAAGCATGCCAGGCTGCCCAGCACTGAGCAGGTGCTGAAGTCAGGTCTTGACAGGGATATGGGTTCAGCTCTGGGCTGCCAGGAGGAGATGGAGCCCTGCGCCCACCTTGGTAGAGCAGGGACTTTACAAAAGAAAGTTTTAAACTGTTAAAACAGTTTCCAAGAAAACTGTTTTCGTAAAAATCTGCTTTATTTTATTGATTTTTGCACATTATGAAGATGTAGACACACATTTCTATCACAGAATCACTGGAGGTGCAAAATTTACTATCTGAATGCTTGTCACACATCTGTGATTTTAACTTGAACACAGCTTGCTCCACGAAGCACATAATCCTCCTATTTATGCAAAGCACTCCTAAACCCTCTGCGTTCTTTGTCCAGGTCATTTTGCAGCACTTGGCACCTGCCTGATCTTTTCCTTTGATGAATATATTAGGATGCATGCAAGCTACATGATTATAGTCAATGCAACTGTAGAGTGATAGCATTTTATCCACATCTATGATTTATGTTTATAGAGAATCACAGAATGGCCTGGGTTGCAAAGGAGCACAATGCTCATCCAGTTCCAACCCCCTGCTGTGTGCAGGTCACCAACCAGCAGCCCAGGCTGCCCAGAGCCACATCCAGCCTGGCCTTGAATGCCTGCAGGGATGGGGCATCCACAGCCTCCTTGGGCAACCTGTTCCAGTGCTTATATGTAATATACGCATTAATTACATATATTGTCTGAATCTGAAATTACATATACGCACATTTTCTAGTTTCTGTACAAAGTGCATAGAATTCCAAGTTCAGAGTCTCAGTCTAAGACACTTCTTGCCCTGAAACTCCCTTTGCTCAGCCATACTTCCCCACCAGCCAGGCATGCCTTGACAGCATTATTTATGGGAATAGTCCCACCAAACTGCCTCATGGAACTGCAATTCATTATTAAGAGAAGCATGTGTATAATTAAAGCATTCTTTTCTGAGGTCAGTTTGTAGTACAAAGATTACTCACAGAGGTTGGGATTCTCAGAGCAGCCCAATATTTCTGAAATTAGAAAACCAAACAAGAACTGAGTGGTGATGTATGTGCTGCCCAAACCATAACAGCCCCAGGCACAACTCCAGGCACCTCCATCCCGAGCCCAGCCAGGGACAAGCAGGCCTTTGACATTATATCACACTCCAAAACCCCAGAGGAAGTTCTGGGCTGTGAATTGTCAATGGAGATGTGCCCACCATCATACTGATATTTTCACGGAGACATTGTCTGAGCTTATACCATAACCTTTCACATGCTGAAAGGTTTTCTACTGAGAAAACAGAATACCTATGGCTGCTCTGAACACTACTAACAGCTTACAGGTATACCTGCAAGAAGGAGATGTGTTTTGGCTTCAGCTGATCATGTAAAAGCTGTTGGAAACAGGTGAATGATACCACCTAGATAAACCCAAGGTATTTACTGGAACTAAGCAGAAGCATTATTATGTAGTATTGATCCCCCTGCAATGAACCACGCTTTACAAGGTCACTCTAAAACATGAGCAATGATTCCAGTGTTAAGACATCCTTCTCTTTGTAATGGGATAATCACAGCCAATCCTTCCACTGCCCTGCAGTGCAACTTCCTGTGCAGCTGAGATCTTGGCTTGTTTGTGCACCAACAGACCTGCGAACAGCTGATATACCATATCAGAACTGAAGGCATCCTCAGTGCATCCTGATCTGCACTGAAGCAACAAATGCCTTCCTTACCCAAACAGCTCACTGTGGAAGGGCAGGCAGTGCACATCACAACTCATCTTGACACCAGCATGAGTTAAAGTGCAGTGCTCCATGAGGTAACCTATCTGCTAAGCCTGTGGGACCGCAGCAAGACAACAGAGAATTCTGAATAATAATTGAAAACTCTGTGCTGAAATCAATGCTATTAAACTGTATCGATGTGGATATTTCTTTTATCTATAAGGCACAATTAAAAAATTGACCTTTACACAGATCTCAAGTGTCAGTCTCATTGTGAAGTTCACAGCCATCAATGCCTGAACTGAAAATTGCAAACATGCAAGACAAGTACCCCCTGCTAAAGCATTCAGGAGCTCATTTGCAAAGCGTGTTTTCTATTAGACAAAACAACACACAGTCTCCAGAAGGCTCTCAATGAATTGCCAGCTCAGGGTGGACTCACAGAGTATGGTGATGCCAGCTTCCTGCCAGCTGTCCCTCCAGAACACATCAGCCCTCACCGCTGACTCTGCCACCTCCCTTTTCTCCCCCATATCACAAACTTCAGCCACAGCCTCTGTGCTCTGCAGTAGCAGAGCTGAGCAGATGGATACGTGGGGCAGGAAGAAGCGTAGCAAAGCAACAAACTTGTGCTGGTATCTACTCTGGCTCCCAGTATGGATGTCTCAGTGTGACCTGGTGCCCAGAGTGGCAGAGAAGGGCTCTTTGTTTGACTTATCCACCCATTATATGTGTATAAATGACCCTGAGAGTACTTTGAAATGAAATTTCACAGCACGCTTTTGGTACCAAATAAGACACAGAGCTTACATGAGTCTCAAAGCAACATTCGCCCATGAAAACAAAGCAGTAAAAGTGATACTGTCTGCTTTTAAGGAGCTTCCCTATTCCATCCCAAAATACTGGTGACTCAAAATGACAGCATGCCCCATCCATCACTGTGTGGGCCTGTGTGTTCTCCAGGAAAAACATGCTTGAAGAACATAAATTGAAACCACTGTTGTAGAGATGTGCCAACCTCAGATCATTCCCAAGCTCAGCACATCATTTAAGCCCCTGTACCTCATTCAGCTGCCAGTTCTGTTTATCCACAACTGATAATCACAGAAACACAGGGGTTGGAAGGGACCTCCAAAGGTTACTAAGGCCAGTCCCCAAATTATAACTCATCTTTCAGATACGATGGAAGCTGCTTCACAAGAAGTAATTGAGATACTGAAGCATTACCTGGTTACTTAAAGTACAGTTAGGTTGTGGCCTTTCTTGTTGCCTCAGCCACAGCAGTGTGGAAGTCCTGGTGTTAAAACCACCGTAGAGAAGGAGTGAGCACAGCCATGAGGGGTTCTTCCAACACGAGACAGGGCAGAAGAAGCATCTGCAGCTGGAATAGGGAGATAGAGGAAAATGGTGAAAAATAAGGGAATAATTCCCCAAAATACCAGCACTGACCTGAGCGTGCTGATGGGAGCACTGCAGTGCATGCTGTTAACATGAAAGAAATGCCTCCTCCTAATTAGTAGATCCAAAGGCTGAGGACCTCCCCAGCCCATCAAACTGCTGGAAGCATCGGTGTTAATTAAATAACAAGGAATAGAGGGAAGCAGTTGCTTGTCAGAAGCTCAGCACCAGGAGGGCAGATGCAGTGCCCATGGATTCAGTTCCCTCACCCACTGCAGGGCTGACTCCAAGCTGGGATTAGTTCTCATGTTCTGAACTGCAGATAATGAATTGACTTCAGGCTCAGGTGCAAAACACAGCCCACAGAAACACAATTTCTGCTCAGATTCAGACATAATGGAGACCAGAAACCAGTTACATAAATGAATACCTGTTACTTTAAAAGAGCATCATTTGATTTGCCTAAAGGTGACAGAAAAGGGGGGTGATGGGGTATGGCAACATGCCACAAGATGCATGATAGATTATGGCCCTACACTGTGTTTATTTGAACAAATGTTGTGACAACCCCCAGAAATATGATTAGATCTGTATTTTTTGCTTGTTGTACAACACGGTATCATTTCATGTCATCTTGGAGGACACAGACAATCGTTTATCAGAATTAAGTGCACACACTAATAAAATCATTTTCTATTACTCCACATTATGAAAACATTTGTTTTAATTTTATCAGCTGACTACGGTAGTATCTCCACAAAGCAGAAGGGCTGGTGCATTCTGCTCTGAGCTCTCCCATCTTTGTGTGCTTAGTTGTATATTCAATATATATATATTCCTACTTTGTGGATGCTGGCACACTGTGCTGAGGTAATACCAGCTAATCAATCCTTGCAGCAATTCTGTAAGAGGACATAGCCTACAAAACCACTACTTTGAATGGTTTTTCACCTTTCTACAAGAGGGACTTAAGCCAGAAATTATCTGTGCAGCCCCACATGTAGATCCACAACCCTACATATGGCTAAAGGCAATTCAATTAAAGAGAAATCTCCCAACTGTTCAGTGCTTTACATCAAATGTTAACCAGAACATCAAGGAGCAAAACTGCAAAGGTTTGCGGAAGTGAAAGGTCAGCTGCATTTTAAGAATAATTACATTGCTAAAGAAAAAATGTCTCAAAGAAAAAAGTGAAAGCATTTTAAAAACATTCCCCTTCTCTCTAGTTCACCCACTTTTTTGATAATGGATACATCCAGAGTTTTCTTCTGACGCCTTCTTTGGAGAAGCACCACAAGCGCCCAGCATCAAGGACACAGCAAATCACATCACCAGCTGATGAGCCACAGCCATCGCATCTGCTGCTATCACTGTGCCCTCCCCACTCTTCAACCTTCCTGCAGGAGACCATAAACACATCCAACCACATCTCAGCCTTCCCAGGCAGTTCTGGGTGACTCCACCAGCCCTTAGGAAGGCTGGTAGGGTTGTTCCATGCAACAAGAGGGCGAGGAAGGACTGCACCCAATGGCTGGAGCAAGATCTCACAGTGGATACGTGATAGCCAGCATTATTTCCAGCCTGCATTATGGGCTGGCTAATTAAAAGGCATAATTAAGGACAGCCACCTCCATTGTTAATTACAACCAGCAATTAAGCCTGGGTACCGAATACAGTGCACCTCAAATAATACTGAGCCAAGAATGGGCCTCACCTGGGTAACGATTCCTGCACTGCCTCATCAGATACCAGTGTGTTCTTCCTGAGACTTTTGGAAGTCTCCTTCCTCCTCCAGGACATCTCCATCTTCACATCCATCTTCCCAGGCTGGATGTGGCTCTGGGCAGCCTGGCCTGCTGGTTGGCGACCCTGCACATAGCAGAGAGGTGGAAACTAAGTGATCATTGTGGTCCTTTTCAACCCAGTCCATTCTATGATTCCATGATTTGTCTTGTGCAGGAAAAGTGCTGAGAGCATCCCATACCTGGACTCAGTGCCTGCAGTCCCAGGGCCACCTGCTCACATCCCATACTTTGGGGACCCCAGGCAGGGGGATCCAACCACCCTCAGCACAGCCCACAGGGATGAGGGAAATCAGGCAGCTGCAAAGAAACCTTCGTGCAGATGGCGACAAGACAGAAGATCACAGAGCTGTGGGATGAAATCATCAATAACAGCAGAAGTGTTTGAATTTACATGTGTTCTCCTCTGTGCATGCAGAGAACAGAAGCGTTCTTATTGCTCAGAAGAGAGGAAACAAAGCAATTCTAGTACTTCCACTATTAATTTTAATTGTTGCCCATATTATTTTGCGAAATACAGAGATCTTATCTGAGCTTATGTGAACTGGCTTGTGAATTTGCATGTAGAGTGTAGTTTATGAAAAGTTAAAGTTACATCGCTATAATTTTCTGATTAAAAACCTAGAAGTTAATCACTATCAGCATCTGACCAATGTTCCCAGATGACTTTTTATCTTTAAGTAGTTTTGGATCAGATTTTCTCAAGTCATTTCACCACCCATGAGGTTCCATTGAGAAAGTCAGAGCAGCGGCACATTGCAAGGCAGCTCCAAGTCAGGAGAAGAGCTCCAGCACATTCCAGCTCCTAAGGCAGAGCCCAGCACATCTTCTTGTAACAATCCTCCCACCTACACCTACAGGCCAGACTCCATCAGCCTCTGGAAGTAAAATATTGAATTAACAAGCAATGTTTGCAGTAGTTTCTCTAGTCTAATATTTCCATTAAAAATTACAAGCCCATACTTACTTGCACACATCAAATTAAGGCAAAAGAGGTGAAATGCCTGCATGGCACATAGCAGAGGCTGCGTGCTCAGTCTCCCTTCTAGGAACCACTGCTCACCATCCATCCAGCACAGGCACTGTGTCTGCACAGCTGGTGATGCAAGGGCAGCAAACTGCTTTACAGCACTTGCAGAAGACTTGTGGTCACCTAGGATACAAAAATAAAAAAATAAAATAAAAAAAAAAAAGCCCTTATACTATTGCTCTGGAATTTATCCTACTTCTGGCACTGTATGTTGGCATCTACTAATGTCTCTAGACAGCACAAGGAAATAGTCTGATTTTTTTCCAGGACTCTTAATGTACACAAATATTTGTACCTGTTTGCTACAACTGAGTCCAAACAGTTCCAGTTTTCAGGTCATTACTCCTTGCTAAATAAATCCAGTGGAACACATCACATCATAACAGCCTACCTGCTTGTTTGCCAGCTGCTACCCATGTTAAGGGGATGTGAGGGATCTCCTGTCTCGGTGCCATTAAGTGAGGGCTTCTCTCCTTAACATCCATAGTGGTTTGGCATACATCAGCCAGGCTCAGAAGCAAAGTCTTTAAGGTTTAAATAATTTATTTCAGTGAGGCTATTTCTAATTAAATACTTCAGTGAGATTTAGGTTTAGCTCCTCAAAAAACGTTTGCTATAAGGTAATGCAGCAGAACAAGTGGAAATTGAGAAAAAGAACATTAAAACCGAAACATAACATGATTTGTGTAAGGATGCTGTACAAAGGGCCATGCAGTACCAAGAACAGGAGGCCCCCATGCTTGCTGGCTCTGGCAGCACGCTCTCAGAACTCCTAGGATCCATCTGGACTCTTGGTTTGTCCTTTGGGTTATGATCCAGGAACCACTACAAATGAAAGTCACGATCTGGTCTGCTCTTCAGATCCTTATCAGAGTATCTTGTCCCATGTCAGCATCCCTGGGCTGGAAGGACAGCAGGAAGCAACACTGCAGGAGGTTCTACTGCAGATGGTTGTAGGGAAAGGTGATGTCAGAGAACCAGTGCTAAATTTACCCCCAAAAAAAGGGCAACGGCCACAGTCCAGTCAAAAAAAGAGAGAAAGATTTGCTTACCCATCCCAATGACCAGGGCTCACCAAACACTCCAAAAGGAGAGATCTCCAGGTAGACATCGTTTCTTTGTGGCTGCCAGCCCTTAAATGAGGTTAGGGAGGGATGGAGACAGGGTCCACCCCTTCCAGTCACAAGGTTGAATTGCTTCCACCTGTGCTCCCAGGGCAGCTGCATCCCTTCACCTGGTGCTCAATCACTGCTTCAGGCCGTGACTAAGTAATTCCTACACAATTGTCTTTAATCTCAGAGATATGGCCAGTGGTTGTTCTGCTCTGTTCCTTGGTCTGCTGCACAGATGCTGGGAGCAGAAGGCTGCAAATGCTGCGTCTCCCAAGAATTAAAAAAAAATCTACTACTAGAAATCCTTAATTTCCCTATAGAAAATAAAGGATGTAAATGGGATTTTATTTGAAGGAATCTTAATAAGTTTATTATGAATTATTATTTTATATGCATGTTCTGATACTGTGTTACGATCCCCAAACTACTCTCACAGTCATATTCATCAGAATAGATCCCATTGTTCATGCAGAAGCCCACTGAGACCCCAGAAGGCCAGCTGCATAAGTCTGAGCACATGCAGCCTGTATGCTTGCTTTTAAATAGAGGATTTCCATTTTGTGGCAGAGCTTTGATTATTTTTCTAGTTTTGTATATGTTTTTAGTTTGAATTCTAGCTTAATGAAAACAAGCATTTTTCAGTGTAAAAAATACAAAAAAAAAAAAATTAAAAAGAGGAGAGAAGGGTAAAAAGTTGAAACAATGTGAATTTCAAATGCATATAAGGAAAAATCACTCTGGGTAATGACAGCAGTTAATTTCTGGAGGTGGTCACCCATAAAGAATGGGCAAACTCAGCATTTCAGGGGATTATCATAGAGTGGTTGGACAGGGTCCCAAAAAGCCTGATCCCAAAAAGTCAACCCTGTGCTGAGCAGAGGATTACAATGGATGATCTCAGTGCCAGAGGCTGCCCCAGGCAGACCAGGCTGCCAAAATGGGCTGGGATGGTTGAAGGGGACCAGAGGATTTCATGCGTTGTCGTAGGGGAACCCAGCCAAACTGGAAGAGCTGCCCCAAAACATTTGGTTTTGTCGCGCTGTCAGGACAAAATAAAAAGCTGCTGCTTCAGAAAACTTGGTTTTGCTCATCAGTTAGAATTAGGTTTTATTAGTGTGGTGGCTGGATGAGTTTCCAGGTTATTTAGGGACTTGGATACGGGAGCTAAAAAAATTATTTAACTTGTTTAGAGATTGCACAAGACAGACTTATAGGAAGAGGAGATATATTGCTGTGGTGCTGAGAAGTCCCACAATGGCAGTGACTGCAGATACTGGAGCCCCAAATCCCTCATCTCCTCCATTGCTCTGGAAACGAGCCTTAGCCCAGCACACTGCTCACACCACCAGCCTGCTGAAGATGGAGCTTTTAAAATGTCAAAAACTGATACGAAACAATTACTTACCCAGATTCTCACTGTATTATATCTGGATTTAACACAATGGTTATCCATGTTTTGGGTGCAATGAACATTATTTGACAAGTTGAGGTTGTTCCGTTTCTGGGTGTTTTTATGGAAATACTTCTCCCCAGTAGAGTTGGGATTAAAGTATTCTAGTATTAAATGTTAATTTAATTAAATGTCTAAATATTAAAGTATTCTAGTATTAAGTGTGGAGGCTGGTGGCCCTGCCTGTGGTAGGGGGTTGGAGCTTGATGATCCTTGAGGTCCCTTCCAACACAAGCCACACTATGGTTCTAAGATTCTATAGAAGAGCATCTCTTGCTCTGGTGTGTACTTCTGGTCCTCCAGGAAGCTGCTTCCTTCTTAACTCCAGAGATTGACTTTTACTTAGAGAGGCACTGAAGCATAGAACATTTCCTCTCAATATCTTGCCATTGTCCTTAATATATAGCACCACAACAGCACCTAAAGACAAATAAAAATATATTGGTTCAGATTCAGTAACTTTTATCTAGAGAAGAAAAGGCTGCAGGGTGACCTCATTGCAGCCTTCCAGGACCTAAAGCCTACAAACAGGAGAGTCCACTCTTTGCCAGGGTGGATAACAGCAGAACAAGGGGAAATGGTTTTCAGTTGAGGGAGGGGAGATTTAGGTTGGATGTCAGGAGAAAATTCTTTACTGTGAGAGTGGTGAGGTGCTGGAACAGCTGCCCAGAGAGGCTGTGGATGCCCCGTCCATCCCTGGAGGTGTTCAAGGCCAGGTTGGATGGGGCCCTGGGCAGCCTGGTCCAGCATTAGGTGGGAAGGTTGGTGGCCCTGCCTGTGGCAGGGGGTTGGAGCTTCGTGATCCTTGAGGTCCCTTCCAACCCTGGCCATTCTGTGATTCTACTGTCCATTAGAAATCTCACCCTGCTGCACTCTGGCTCTTGTGAGTGATGGCATTGTTATTTCCATTAATCCTTCAGAGGATTAACAGCCAAGGAGGTGCTCACATTTACACACCATTGCCACGTCAAGTAAATTATCGTATTTATCAAGTGTGATATTATTGTCTTTAGGAGATTGCCTGTCTGTCTGAAAAACACTTTAAGCATGTGACACCAACAGAGACCAAGCTTTGGTTTCCTTCAAGCTGCATTATTGATAATTGCAGGGTTTATATTCCTGCTCGGACCTTTCTGACCGAGGATGAATTTGTTATGAAAGAAGCAACAGCAATAACTTCCCATTGCACAATGCTGGCAGAACAGTACCCAAAATGCCATCTCTTGGGTGGAATGTGTTTGGAATTACAACACCAAGAGGGAGGCACAGAACCCACTGTAAGGAGCAGCTGCAGTTAAATGAATTATCTTGCAGACTGAAAGACGAGAGCACCAGCTAGGATGAGGTTGCACTTATAATAAGAGAAAATGAAAATAATGTAATTTACTGAGAGGAGAATCAAATGGGCGATATGCAAACCATACTGCAGCCTCCTCCAGCCTGTCTGCAGGCATATCACTTACACCTCCCGCAACTGAATTTCCTCTGTGCTCTTTATGGACAGAGAAGCAACATCAGAGCCACTTAGAGAAATTGGAATGCTGAAGACCTAAACACTGCCGCTGCAAATAGAATCACAGAATTGCTCAGGTTGGAAAAGCCCTTAAAGATCATCAAGTCCAACATCAAGTCTAACCATACTATCATAACTGTAACAGCCCTCTACTAAATCATGTCCCTGAGCACCACATCCAAATGGTTTTTAAACACAGCCAGGGATGGTGGTGACTCAACCACCTCCCTGGGGAACCCATTCCAGTGCTTAACAACCTTTTCCCTGACACTGGTAACTTCAGCACAGTGGCTGCTCAGGTTCTGCAGTGCATTACTCTGGGGATGTCAAAAATTATTGAGTTCTCCATCACTGCCTCAGATCTTATGTCCTCCCATCGTGGAAGGCTCAAGGAAATGCTCACCCAAATAGACAAGAGTTTGTCTGGCTCTCAGTTCAGACATGGGCACACAGGTTGGAAGTGCATTTTGTTGCTTTCCTGATGCAGCAAGTAAACCTCTTTTTGCATATGCAGTCCTGAAGGAGAACCACAGAATCATAGAATCATTAAGACCTCTGGGACCCCCCAGCCACCCCACTGCGCCCACTGCCCACCTTCCTCAGTGCTACATCCCCATAGATGTGAACACCTCCAGGGATGGGGGCTCCCCGTCTCCTCAGGGAACACCCAGGCACCATGGATCACCACCAGCTGCCCTAATGGCACAGCCAGCCCTCCAACCTGTCAGAGGGCTTAGAAATCAATAGCTAACAGAGATGAATCTACTTACAGAGCAGGATGCTTTTCCCTGACTAATACCCTCTGCCTTCAAAGCAAACAGTTTTTATTGTGCCTCTAACTATAAACAAATTTTCAGTCCATAAACAAATTTGCTGTGCTGAGCACAGTCAACAGAGACAAACTGAAGCACAAGTAAACAGTTTATATTTGTTTTTTTCTTAAGCAGAGCCCTTCCCTCTGCCCACCAGTTGCGTTGACAGCAAGCTTTCTACCCATCACCATGCAGCCCTACACATAACACCCCCTGAACACAACCACCCCCGAGCACAAATTGACCATTAACCCAACCAACTGCCCATCTTCCCTTCTTTTCTTACTCTATTTATATAAATGAGATTAATTAAAACACCTTCAGTATTAGCCTGGTTAGCACTCATTTGTGACAAGGCTGGTTCAGCTGGTGGGGAGATGCTGGTACCAACATCATGTTAATTGGATGATGAACAGTGATGGCAGAACGCAGAACATTGCTCTGCTCCCTCCTCACCACACACCCAGCACAGTCACAGCAGAAGGGCCCTGGGGGGGCAGAGACCAGAGCCACAGGGCTGATGTCAGATGGATTATTAGAGATACAGCATCTATCAGGAACAAAAGGGATTCATTAGGCTAAATGGCATCATTCATGCCAAGGAATTTAAATTGCACAGCTAATTGAGGTAATTGCTTAAACAACTTAAGTAATTTATGTTCTACAGCAAACCTGCTAAGCCCCCAGCCCTATGGATTTACTACTGTTACCCTTTGTTAAATGATAGCAAACGTTCTCATAAAAAATGCTGCAAAACTTTCTGTGCTTTATGAATTTTATGAATCTTCTCATGAAGAACTTAGCTCTTGAGCAGGCTTTGTAAGCAGCAGGCTGGTATTCTACTGCGTTGTGTAATTTTTGGAGGTGGGATTTATGGGACCAGCCACCGCAGGCTCTGGCTTCTAGATACAAGTGCATCTAGAGACAAATCCTCCTTTTCTGCAATGCACTCAGCTTCCATATGACATCCTTTCTGCTAAGGCTGGCTGTTCAGAAGCATGAAGCTTGGTTGAGGGTGTAATGCCAGGCTCCTGTGCTGACTAGCAAAAGGTACCTCTCCCCATCCCCACAACCACTTCTTCTGGGTGTCTCTGGCACAATGCACTGGGTGAGATGACTGATGTTTTCCTCCAGGTGCCCCCGTTGGTGTGGTGATAGGAGACTTTAGGGGTCTGGGAGCTGAGAATTCATCCCCTAAAAGCTGCTGGCAACAAAGTGCT